TCATATTTGCAAATATAGTAATTAGACTTATCCAAGTGGGAGACTGTTGGATATAGTGTCTAAGTCCATAACTTTATTTGGTATGTACTTGACCCGACCCGGCATGGTCCATTTGGGTTGCATGGCATTGCAATACTTGGATAGACTAAATGAGAGAATAAGGCACTTATGATTATTAATATATTATAAGTTCTAATATATTAATAATAGTATTATTTAATTAGTATTGATCAAGTATTAATCTAGGATTAATTTGGTGATCAAAGTGAGACTAATTAAATATATAGGGTTGATTATGACAATCATCAATTCTTTATGGTGGATTAATGATCCATGGTTTATGGGTTATGGATGTAACCAAATGGAGCTCCATGGATAGTCCATGGGAGTTACAAATCCATGGGTCATGGGAAATCAAGAGTCATGACAATTAAGGGCATTCATGTGTAAACCCTAATTGTGACAACACTATAAAAGGAACCCTATGGCTAGCAAAATGGTGACCTAGGGGACCTAGTGGACCTAGTGTTACTAGAGAGGGCATAACCGATTTTGAGTGCTAGAAGTATTCTCTCAAGTTATTCCAAGTCTTGTGGTGTTATGTGAAGCATTTGAGGCACAACATTTGGGGTGCTAGGCTCACAAAGTCTTGAAGGAATCCAAGCAACAACAAGGTATGTATTTCTACTAGTTTTTATGTTTTGTGCAATCCCCATGCCATGCTAGTTAGGAAATAACCTTGAAAATGAAATTTGCATGTATATAGAGAAAACATAGATTCAAGGTTATTAGGGTTGCATGTACACTTAGGAAGTGTTAGAATGCTCAAAACCCATCACCTGGGACATACGGTGGCAAGGTCATTGAATTGTCGTGTATAGGTGGCAACATCAGCTTCCTGCATCGTCAGATTCCACAGCTCCTACTCCAGCTTCTGCATCTTTACGCGTGTATAATATTCCCTAATCATGAGTTGCTTTAACTCACTCCAAGACATGGCATTTGCTAAATTAACGCCCATGGTCCTTGTATAACTGGTCCACTAGCTTAGGGTTGCGTCTACCAGGGTGAAGGCGTTGAACTTGACTTTACAGTCCTCTGGAAAAAAGCTTATCTCAAAAACAGACTCCATCTTTTCCATCCACATAGTCAATCCAACTACAACTTCGTTTCCATGGAAGGGTTTTGGCTTACAGTTCATAAAATATTTATACAAACATACTCTGGTTAGACCTTGATTATCTCCATGCGAACTCTCACATCCGTTGGCTCCTGATCCTAATTTCCTTGGGGTTTTTACGCGTTGGGATACCAATGCCTCAATCGCGGCTGAGCTCACAAGCTTGGGATTGGTTTCGGATTGTCCTAGGTTCCTTCTAGTGCGAGCCATGATTCTAAATTTTATGGAATATGTTAGTTGTTATGATAAAAAAAATTTGTTTTACTTTGATAATTTAGTTAAGAGAGTTAACTATATCAAGAAAACAATCAAACAAGTAACAAAATAAACATTAAGATCACAAAATTTTCATTAATTTCCACAAACTTTTACATTAGATTTTCCAAAAAGAGTGTAAAATGGTGTGGTTTGAGCAGGAGAAGATTCTATTTTACAACAAAAGACGTAGCATTTTCCTATTATCTGCTACATTACTATTCCTTCCTCAAACCCACAAATCTTAGTTCCTAGCTTCCCTAGGCTAGAACTATATACCATAACCCAAAACAAACTAACATCTAAGCCGCTATCTATGCTAAGTGATGCTGAAGGCAACTGATCATCACTTCCATGGTGGTTGTAACTATCTCAGAAACTACCAACTTCAAATCCTTCTCTCTCACACGTCAAGACTCCCAATCACGATCTGTTGATATTGTACTAGAGAATGAGTCTTTCTCTGGATGATCATAAGGGTGGAGGATCCTCATCTCGTCATAATCTCTCCCCTGCTCTAACTCACTATCTCTACTAGCTAACAACCCGACCTCCCTCCTCAGCGATTCGTGATACTCCTCCACCTGATGTATGCGATCCTTGTGTCATGCTACATGCAGGACTAACACTAATATCGATCGATCTGTGGGATCCTCTACGATGGAATCGCGCCTCGGTGCCAGGGATGACTCTCCGATCTCATGAAACCCAATACTATCCTCCTTGGTCCACTCGTCCACTTGGAGTGTCCATTTGTGGGTGGGGAAATGTTTCTTTGATGGATTAGGTAATGATGATGGTGAGGTTGCCCTCTTTCGGGATGGCATGGGGATGGATTTTATGGGGGGTGGTGATAATCATGCATCCTAGAGCATGAATACTGAGAGAGGATGGGGGAAGTGGGGCAACACTCTCTGGGGATGACTCTGACTCAGTAGGGTCCTCCTCTTGAGTCTCCTCATGATCCTGTTGCGAAGACGAATCTGGATAGGGTGAAATTTTTGCAGGTACTCCACCGATCTCATCGCCAGGCTGCTCCTCCTTATTTGGTTCTTCATCATCTTCAAATGGATCCCCGTCAACTGATATTGGGGTAGGCGGTAGGGGAATCGTCGGATCATTATCGCTCTCTTTCTTAGGCGTGCATGGCACCACTTAATATTCTTTCGTATAAGGATGCGACGCCCAGTCTCATTATCCTCCATATCGCTCCAATTTCCTGCATAGGACATCAAACAGGTAGATCTTTATGAGAAATAATATATAATACGTATAATTTCCTATTATAGTATATATATATATATATATATATATATATATATATATATTGTAGATAGTACCATATCATAGGTAACTTTCTATATGGGAGTTATGTCGTATGCTTCTCTCTATTCTAGATATCCTCAAGGTGTACCACCCTCTTGCACTAGGTCTTGATCTACGGCTCTAGTCTTTAGTAAGTCGATCTATGATACTGATCCAAAGATCCTCTAGTCGTAGGCCTTGTCCTAATCTCTTAACTTGGCGTATTAAACTATTGATCCATAAATCCTTAAGTGTTTAGGTTGTCAACTACGGCATGCAGGTTTAGGCGTGCGTCGGTCAGACCTTAATAAAACTTAGTTGCGCATTCTAGGTCTAGTTGTGGTACGGACGCAGTACTAGAATAACCATAGGATTCGTTTTTGACCGACAATCTAAAGTTGTGATTAGAATGGATAGTTTTTATGATACAAGAGTTTTCTTATAACAGTTTATATAACTCTTTATCTGATTAGTGTTTTATTGGGGTATTTTATTAATTATATGTTTGTGTACCTCAAGACTACTAAGCAAGGATCGGCCAGGTAGGAAAAGTTGAAGGGCAGGACCATTTTGACATATAGTCGTTCCTGAAATCTAGCAACCCGAACGACAAATATTTCCAGCCTAGACACCTCTCCCTTAAGTAGTTTATCCGTATGGTAATTGATAATAATAATTTTATTAGGTTTATCTAATTCAGAGTTTATGCCTTAGGTTATAGTCGTAGTTCTAAGGAATTACTAGTTCGCTGTAACCTGTAGCTCTGATACCAATCTGTCACACCCCCGTTCGGCGGCGAAAACTTCGGGCGGTGCGGACTTGGGGAAATTGGATCGAGGCATATATATATATATATATATATATATATATATATATATATATATATATATATGTATACACACACACACACACATATATATATATATATATATATATATATATATATATATATATAGAACATAACACAAAAGTATATTACAAACTAGATGAGTGTCCCCCGCGTTGCGGGGGTTGGAACGTGTCGTTTTTGTGTGAAAGTATTGTACATTGCTTCAATTGGTAGTTGCGGTAAAGTATGTTTCTATTCTCCCTACATTTCACGTATTTACAAACGGATAATAGTCATAATTTAGATACAACTACTAACCATAAAGCATCTACAACCTATGGAGAGACTCTTTATTACCTTGTTTCTCCCTATCCATTATTATTCATCACCTTAACCTGCACAATTGAACAAATTAAAAAAGTTTAAGAAGGTAGATAACATTTAAAAAAAATACAAATACGAATTGATAAGCCATTTCATCTAAGTAATGAACTCTAATACAAAGTCTCATGACTTTTGGTAAAGATGACCCAAATGAGTGAAAGAATGTGAACCATCATATGATCCTAGACATATTTTCCATGCTATATTTGTCATAACAATGAAGGTACAATAAATGGATTAATGTCTTAATAAGAATAAAAATAAAAGTACAAAGTATGACGCTATTTACCAGAACTTTTGCGCTTCCGAAGCATGTGCCGGTGAGAATGAAGATTTAGCTACATAGAAGATTCTCTACATTTTAACACCAAATATCTCGATAAATAAAGTAAAAAAATACAGGATTAACAGATAAGGTTTGCATACATACCAGAAGGTTGTGCATGACATCATGAAGATGTCATTCATTAGGCGACTCATTTGAGTCCTATTTGAGAAAAATTAAATAAGAAATTGCTTACTGAAATGTTAATATTATACCTTATTGTACTCATTGCCTCTTGTCACCTCAACTGCAGCAACTGCAAACTCCAGCAAGCTGAACATATCATCATGATTGAAAATCCCTGACAAATTGATAATTTAACAAAAAGTAGGTTGTTATAAATAACGAAACTTTATAAGTAGGTTACTATTTTAGAACAAAAATATAACAAATTGTACAAACCTTCGTAAGAGTAAACGTACTTCCAAGCTGCTGAGTTTAGCATGTGGTTAAGCATAGTAAAAAAATGCTTTTTCATCTTCTACATATTTCTCAGCAAGTAGCTGAAAACCAAATCTTTTCTATGTTTAACAAATCAGAATATTAAAAAGATAATCTAATATAACATGTATAAGGGAAAATTAGTTAATTTGTAATTACAGACCCTATAAATCAATAACCTCACAATTTACCTATGAGGACGGGTTTGTGGAACCTAAGTGTTGCTTTCTATTTTCCTTCCTTCGGGACATTTGGAATCTTGAATTTCAATTCTAGTTCCACTATTTGAATGGAATCTTTAATTCCAATTCGTCAAAATATGACATAATCCACACAGGCTCTACCATGATTCTCCTGTGAAAAAAATTAATCTTAATTAACATATTTTAAAAAAACCTTTTACTATATTATTAATCATTCAAAACCAATGAGATTTATATAGTAAAAGCTAAATAGATATCGCAAATAAGTAAATTATAGTAGAATGGAAAGAACCTGAAGCAGTGAGCATTGATATGATGCAATTTTCTAGTAAAGATTCACATGTAGCAGATGCGTACATTAGAAAAAACAATTTTACAAAACATTTTTTTAAAATAAATAGAAAGAATAATTAACATAATTCACCCAAACATTCCATAAAATATAAAATATTAAAAACAAATGTTGCTAATAACACAACTGAGTAATGTTACTGCCTGATTAATCATTATATAATTTCACTATTCCAAATAAATTTTAAATGTAAACATAATATGTATAAAAAAATAAATGAATTTGTAGTTAAAAAGAGTTTATACTGCAGATTCCCATTCTACTTCATGATGGAATAAAAATAGTTTTATTACTTCAAGAATAATCCAATTCCGTTTAATCAGACAAAATAAACAACTTTTTTAACTCCAACTCTTAGAATGGGATGAACCATTCCATTCCTTTTACGATTCCATCATACCAAACAATACAGCATATTCTCATTTTCACTTTACTTCCAAAGTTTTTCAATTCTAGTTGGAATATAATCAGGAGTACTAATCATACCAAATGTGAAGTAAAAATTTGGAAGTAAAAGAACATATCGTTGTTTAAATATAAGGCTATTTGACCTCACTTACTTTTGTATGGAAATAACAAAGAATTAGCAAAGAAGGTGAACAGGGAGAGAAATCAAAAGGGTATAATTGGAAAATTAAGCATACCAGCCATTCTTTGTAGCCTCGAAAACCTTAAGCTTTAAGCTTTTTGACATAATATGGGTGAAATCGTCGATCTAATACCGAAATACTCCATCTATGACATACTGTGAACCTGAAAGTTGAATATCCTCGAGCCTTGGTTCCTTCTCCCGAAACTCCAATCCCCCATGTCTTCACAGCAAGAACATCGAAACCAAAAAAAACATATAAAAAAATTGGAAATTACCCGGACATTGTTAACCGAAATCCCCCAAAATACGAAAGAATTGCAGACAAAAGAAGATAAGACAGAGAAAGAAGATGATTAAGAGCTCAGTGAAATCTTACCCAAACGGCAACAACCAAAGCAGACGATGGTGTGTTCAATGTGAAGAAACACTGTTAATCAAGGAATGGGTTTGTTTGGGTGTAGCGCTTCCATGGAGAAGAACAACAATCAAAACAGATTCGATCGGTGGGGCGCTTTTAGGGCTTGTGGGCGCCGACGATTCTGAAACTCACTTTCTAGGGTAGGAGCTGGTGGAGGTCGACAAATCTGAGAAGAAGAAGAAGAGAGCCAGTCGAGAAAGCGTCGTCTGTTTCTTTAAAAAGGAGCAGCGACAGATGTAGAAGGCGTGAACCGGAACCTTTGTCGCCAGAGAAGAAGCGTCGTGTATTAGGCGGTGGAGGGATCTGAAAAAAAAAAGAAACAGGAAAGAAAGATAAAGATGATGGTAGTGAATTATGTCTATGGTGGTGCAACAACTGATTTAGGTTAGAGAGGCGGTGGAATGGTCTACAGTGCAGCAACGTGTCTAACACACCGACCCACACGTGTATAAATCTGGGACCAATTTGGCCAGGGACTAAAATTAAAATCTTCTATTAGGAGGACACAATTGAACATGTATATATAAAGGAAGGACCATTTTTGCCCTAAAATTAAAATAGTCTATTAGAAGGACACAATTGAACATGTATATATAAAGGAAGGACCATTTTTGCCCCATCCTTAGCAAATTTACTCTAGCTAAGGATGGAGAATTTTAATATATATATATATATATATATATATATATATATATATATATATATATATATATATATATATATATATATATATATATATAAAATATTTCTTTTATTTATTATAAATTATTTTGGGAGTACATTGTTTTAAAAATCAACACACATCCTAAACAAGACTAGAAACGATAAACAGACGGATATTTAATGATCATATCTTATTATATTTTTAGGACATTTTATTAATCCTAATTTACTATCTTTGTAGGATATCTTGTTGGAAAGTGTATCCAAGGTCATCAACTATTGGTAATATTTCTAATAATAATAGGGTCCTCTTGGGTTGCCCTCAAGACTCAAATTAAGCTGAATAAATAAAGGAGGAATTACTTTATTAATTATTATGGTTTAATAATTAATGAGAAACTAATTGGAAAAAATTTTGGAAATTAATTAACAGTTTAATTAATAGAAAGGTTGAATATCAATTAATCAATAGTTGGTTAATCAGGAATATTCCAGAAACGTAGGAAGAAGGGTGGTGGACAAAAATTCTCTTTGGATAAGGGAAATTTAGTTCATAGGGCTATCCTATCCCACATGGGCTTGAGGATAAAACACTAGGAGGTATCCAAGGCTATAAATAGGGCCTCAGGGATTCATTCCTCCTTGCTCATTCTCGCCACTTCTTTCTCCCTCCTTGTGGAAGAACTCTCCTTATGGGTGTCATCCCCTCCTAGTTATTTTTTATTCTACTCTTTTGAGTTCATTGGGTGTGAACCAAGAGAGGGATTCTGTTTTGGGTCCTGATCATCCAAACATGGTGGAATGCACGAGGAGTCAAGCGCGAAAATCTTTGGCTGCCAAAGAGGTATGTGATTCTTCCTTTGTATTTAAGTTTTATAGGGCATATGTAATTATTATGAAACCATAGATCCATAGGTTGCATGTACACTTAGGTATATCGTAATTTCGATTTTTCCACTACCTAGTTTAGAGTGTATTTGATGCGTAGAAAACCTAACAGTGATATCAGAGCCATCGTTTCATGATTACATTCACCCTAGATCCATATTTTCTGAAAATACTTGTGTGAAATTGAATGAAAGAATGAAGATTGAAAAATTCATAATTGATAGAACTTGTAGTCGCAGCTCACAACGTGAGAGCTTTCTGCTCACCAACCAACTCAAAACTCTAAAATTTCATCCAATCCTCTCAATGTGAAAGTTGAAGAGTTTGAGACAACCAAATCTCTTTTGGACTGCAAAATACAAATTTGGGGAATCTATAAGTGTGCATTTTCATAAGATGAAAACATAATTTGATATACTGACTAATCTGGGTGTTGGGATTACGAAGGAGCAGATCATGGCTTGGATCTTGTTCTCTCTTCCACCTTCATTTGTTGAATTCCTTATGGACAAAATGGATGATCCTAATATGACCCTCATGGAGCTTCACGACTTGTTAATAGCAGCTGAAGCTAGCATACAAGAGACTGTTCAGCTCGTCGACCCCACATTGGCCATTAATCATGGAGATGATAAAAGGAAAAGGATTTATCATCCCAAAGGAAAGGGAAAGGCCAAGGGTGGAAAGTCTGACCAAGGTCCTAAAAGAAAGGTCCAAGCTGAGATAGCTCCTTCTGTTGATCCAAGTGAGGCCATTTGTTTTTACTGCCAGTTAAAGGGACAATGGAAGCGTATTTGCCCTAAATACCCTGGAGGACCTTAAGAAGGGCTAAGTCAAGGTGATTGGAACCTCATGTATGTTTATGATATAACTCCATAGCACAACTACTTCTAACTCTTGGATTCTTGTTATAGGATGTGGTACTCACATTTGCTCTGATATGTAGGGAATAAGACAAAGTAGGAAGTTGAGGCATAGTGAGCTCAACTTGATCATGGGAAACAGGCACAAGTCAGTTGTTACAAGGATTAGGAACTATGAGTTCATGCTTGGTGGTAGTGTTTATCTTAGTTTATTAAATTTTTGTTTTTCGCCTGATATGGCACGAAACATTATTTCTTTTCATGCACTTTATAAGGATGATTGTCGTTTTTCTTTTGAAAATGATAATGGTGACATTTTGGTTTATAAGAATGGTTGTTTTATTTTCAAAGTTAGTCGTTGTAAAGGTGTGTATGAAAGTGTTGTTTGCGTAGTTGGAGTTGATAAACTATTAATGAATGTTGGTTCTTCTAGTAGTGAATTAGATAAATCATCGTTATGGCATTGTTGACATGGCCATATAAACAAGAAGCACATCTCCAAGCTCCAATTGGATGGGATCTTGGAATCATTTGACCTCAAGTCAGATGATGTATGCGAGTCTAGTTTACTTGGCAAGATCACAAAGTCGTCATCACAGGCCACAGTGAAACAGGCAAGGACTTGTAGGATCTCATCGACACAGATGTTTGTGGACTGTTCAAATCTGCCACAAGACATGGAGAAAGATACTTCGTGACTTTTACTGATGATTTTAGCGGATATGGATATATCTATCTAATCAAGCATAAGTCAGAAACCTTTGAGGTGTTCAAAGAGTTTCAAAACGAACTAGAGAACCAATTGGGCAGAAAGATCAAGATGCTCTGATCCGATAGGGGTGGAGAATATTTAAGTCTTGAATTCTACGATCATCTTAAGAATTGTGGAATAGTTTCAAAATTGTCTCCTCCCAGAACACCACAGTTGAATGGTGTGGCTAATAGGAGAAATTGAATGTTGTTAGACATGGTTCGATATATGATGAGTCGAGCTACACTTTCGATATCTTTTTGGGGTATGCCTTAAAGACAGCCGCCCACCTCCTAAACCTCGTACCCATTAAGAAGGTTGCTAAAACATCCTCTGAGATGTGGAGTGGGACACGTCCTTCTCTAGCACATATAAAAGTTTGGGGTTGCGAGGCTTTCGTTCATCGCGGGGCGAATGATAAGCTCGAGCCTAGATCAGAGAAGTGTTGCTTCATTGGTTATCCACAAAAGTCCTTTGGGTACTAGTTCTACAAGCCTTCTGACACATTTCTCATAATACAGCCCATATTCGTTTGTCATTGCATAGTTTTGCATACAAAACTTTAGTTGTGCCATAGACTCAAACATGTCACCTAACTTGGGTTCCATAAGATCCCATATTGTATTTCGATCATGAATTATGTGCTTCTTCTTCACTTTCTCTCTATCTTCGATAACCTCTTCATCACTTTTCCAGTCACCAACATGATAAACTTGTGCTCTAACCTCATCAGCTATGCTAGAATTGCGTAGATTATCATCACTAAGAAGTACATTCAGAAAGGAATCCTTACATTTGTTCAGATGGGATAGAAAATCATTATGAGGTTCATGATCCATGTAGATACCGTGCAGCTTGAAATCCATCTCATTCAGGCCTGCGAATGGCTCGTACAAACCACCAAAGACATCGTCTGAGAAATCCATCGCCTTCGTTGAGAAATCCAACTGGTTTTGGTGTTCAGTGGCGTCGCCTCCATTTCAATTTGAGAGTGTAAGTAAATTAGGGTTTGCAATTAATTTAGCATGCATTGAGAGTAACAGAGGGTGATACGAGGTAAATGGGGGGAACCAGTTGATCCATCTTCCCACTCATTGTGGTTATCGGCACGTGCCCTCCTAATTAAGTGAGAGTCACCGGTTAAAAACATGTTTATTAGGTAATAGGGCAATTACGACACAAATTGGACAACTACCCGTTTTCTCTGGACCTAAACTGTGGCCAGGGGTTAAACAGAACATTTTAGACAGACTCAAGGGTTTTTATGCCATTTGATATATATATATATATATATATATATATATATATATATATATATATATATATATATATATATATATATATATATATAATTGTATTGATAGGATATTACTTATCTTATCTAATTCCAAATAATTACCCTTTGAATTTTCAATTACTGATATAACTACAAACCATATTTAATATTATATTATATTAAAAACATTTATTAATATTTTTTGTTTGGTTCAGTTTATAATGGTTTGTTTTTAGATGAAAACTATAATCGAACTATATGTATTCGGTTAATCAAAATTTGAAACTACACCATATCTTTTAGTAATTGCTTGGTTAAAATGGTATAGTTATATCTATTAATTTGGTTATGGTTCGGTTTTATCGGTTAATATGATTACCACTAACTAATCCTATTAAAAAAATAATTTTATACCTAACCTGTGTTAATAATATTCACATTTAACGAACTTTTTCACACTTTTTCCAAAAAAAATATTTTAAAAATATAAACAAACAAAACGTCAAAAAAAATGTATTCAAACAACACGTCAAAAATAGAAAAAAATTATTCAAAAAAATATAAACAAACAAAATGTAAAAAACAATAAACAATATATTCGAAAAAATGTCAAATAAAATCTAAATAATAAAAAGTATAAATAAATAAAATAAAATGAAAATGAAAATAAATATAAATAAAAATAACAGTTATATATATATATATATATATATATATATATATATATATATATATATATATATATATATATATATATATATAAAACAAAAACAAAAATATAAGAGTAATGATAAAATGGTTTTTTTAAATTGACTAAAGATGTGCAATGCACTTTCTTTAAACCATCGTAATGCATCTTATCAAATTTTCAAAGGTTAGACTGAAAGTACGAATTTGACCAAACCCAAAGACCAAAATTGTAATTTACTTCGAAAGAAATGACAAAAAAGAATAGGGACAAGATACTTATTCACCGGATAATCGAAAATCGCCGAAAAAAATCATATCACGTCGGAGAAAATGACCGGAAGTTCATCGGGGATGACTGTCATCAATAAATGCATACTTTATCTGAAAACTTACAACAGGTCATAAGAACATAATCCGCACAGAAAGTTAAATGGTATATTTTGAAAAAAAAATGAACTAATCGTATACAAAACAAAACATTGTTACTTTTTCAAGGCATTTTCCCATGTTTAAGCAACTATTAAACTAAATTTGTACCGGTGAATCTTTCTAACCACAACCAAACAGTACAAGTTATTTCCATAAAATAAGAGAGAAATTATACAAAACATAAAGTTAACCAACCAACTTTCCATTTCTTTGAGACCCTTTAAGTAAATAACAATCCATCATCAAAACAACTAATCTTGCCAACACTCAAATTCAACACTACATTAATCATCATCATTCAATATGTGATGTACATCTAAACAAAAAAAAAAAAAAAAAAAAAACTCTTTACATATCCAAAAAAAAAAAAAAAATACATTCTCACTGTTTTGCTTCTTCTGCTTTTGGTTCTACTTTTGCTTCTTCTTCTGGTATTGGTTCTTGTTCTTGTTCTGGTTCTGCCCTATTCGACTCAACCTGCCCGGTCCCACTCTCGGGTCCCACTTTTTCTTCAATCTTGATTTCAGTCTCCTTCACAGGCTCCACCTGGGTCCCAGTTACCTCTTTTGGACCTTCTTGGGTCGCACCCGGAACCACAAAACCCGGACCAGGTACGGGTACGGGTCCTTCTTGGGTCGGACCCAATGCTCCAAAACCCGGACCCGGTACAGGTACGGGTCCTGGGACTTGTGGAAGAATGGAGGAACCGGTTTGGGCCAAATAAGATTGCAGCCATTGAAGAAGTTGATGATCGAGTGGAGTAGAAGTGGAAGCATTAGTATTCTGAGTAACTGTTTGAAGAAGGGCAGGATACAGTGCTTCAAGTGCAGGATAAAGAGCCTGGAGCGCCGCCTGTCCCAAAGTAGCTTGCTGTTCCTGAAACCTTTGAAGATTAAAAACATGTTTTTTACCTTTCAAATGGCTGTCAAATGTGGGTCCCGATTCACATTTCACATCACAAAGCTCGCAAATAAACGGTACGATTTCCTTCTGTTTCTTCACGGCCTCAACCGGTTTCCGTTCCACTTCCCTCATCTTTCTCTTTAACCCATTCTGATTCTGTTGTTCTTCTGATTCCGGGGCGGGGGGAATCTGTGATTCCTGAGTTCTGGCTGCGAGTTTTTGTAAATCTTCTTGGATTTTTAGATTCTTTTTATGTTTTTTCCCGTTTCTATGGTTTTCGAGTATTTCAAGAGTGTTGCAATCGACTCGACAGAGTTCACACCATGCCATAGCTCGTGGTTTTGGCTCGGTGGTGATTTTACCACTTCGCCCTTTGCCTCGGCCTCTTCCTTGACCGCCGCCCCGAAACCCTCCTCTGCCCGTGCCTCTGCCCATACCGCTAAACTGGCCTTGCCCGTTCTGCAATATAACTCGGTCACACACAAGGGTATAAACGTAAAATCAGGATGCAACGAGGGTGTTAATGTAAATAAATATTAATGAAGTTTCAAGTTAAACAGTTGTATATATATAGCAAGAAATACTATTATCCCACTAAAAATATATATATAAGTGTTTCTCTTTTACTTAATGGAGAAAGAACTACCTAATAATGAAAATTCAAATAAAGGAAGCTTTCCCCATTAAGTTCTAACCTTTTACATATTTCTTTCCTTCCATTTTCCCAAGTGTACTTATTTATCAGTTTCTTAAATATTTTTTAAGCATCGTTTATCCAAACAACACTTAATGGGAAAAAAAAAAAAAAACAAAGAAGAAATATGCCCTTACTATCAAATTCTAAACCGTAGATTTGGTCTTCAAAGTTGAGATGTATGCATTGGTGCATACATTATTAAGAAAGAAAATGTTAACTTTAGAGGTGAAGCAAACTACATTTCAAATACAAAATGATATGGATTTTTTGCAAACCAATATCTATTTTGATGTTGAAATGTAGTAACACTACCTTGAAAGTTACATTGTATCCCTTTTGGGGTGGGAAAGCAGGAATAATATTACCGTTAGTTTACTCTACAGTTCACATTTTCTATGCAATGCCCGTTTTTGGAGAACTAAGGACGAACTCGTAATTTTCCATGAAATTCAAGAAGATCCATCTTCCATCAACAAAGAAACTGCTGCAAGAAGCTATGAGTGATTCAGCATGCCTCAAGAAGCTTGAATATGAAATCCTGAAGAAAGGTTCATCAACCAACGAGCAAAATACAAGTTTCCAATGATACCCTTTAGGCCCCATTTGTTACACATGACATGAAAGCTCAAGGTATCTCTTGTTTGGAAAAAAGACATGGATGCCACATTGCCACCTCATCATCAAAAATAGCCCTAGAAAGTTTGTTCAGTCCCATGTAACAAAAGCAGCCTTAAGGTATAAAGATCATTGGATGACTGTTTAGAATGAGAACTTTGGCTACAGTTTCGTCTGAATGGCACATGTAGATATCTAAAACCAAAAGGGTTTCCCACAAGAACTATAAAGCAACCATAACAATGAGGGTATTTAGTATTTACAAGTTTTCAATAAATCTTGCCTCTTGTAAAGTTCCAAATGGTTGCTTTAGGGTTTTGTGGTCAAGGAGGGAGAGGCTTAGTAGGTGCAATCTATTTTTGTGGTTAATAGTAGAGGTGTTTAAAAGTTCAAGTAATCAATTTTTAAACTTTGCCCCTTTTGTACAGAAGCCTCTTCTTCACTTCTACAAGATAAGAAATATTTATGTACCATATAAACAGTCAAAACATGCAAAATCTTCAAACAGACTAAGAGCTTGTGGCTAATTGGTTCTGCAGTGGGGAAAAACAAGTTTTAAGTAGAAGTAATAGGTGTTTGAGCTTGAACAGAAGCCATTCCAATGGCTGTTCAAGCTATATACGAGAAAGCTGTCAAGCTCAGCTGATAGTTTTTGAATTTTGGGAACAAAAAAAGTTTAGACTTTGCCAAGTTTCAATATCTTGTTATAAGGAGGATCAGTTTGAAGGATTTAGGAATATTGTTCCATTAAAAGTAGATCCACAGTCACATAGCTTAAAGACGTTTATTGGTGTTGATAGGTTAGTGATAAAGCAATGCCTAGCCCATAACTCTCAACTCAAGTCAAGGTGCCATTTTAGTTACTTCACCACCCTCATCATCTCAAAGTTGAAAACAATTAAAACAAACAATCTAGGGATGAAACTCATATAACATACGGCCAACTAAGCAATTGGGTAAAAGATCAGCAAGTATAGAAGTCTCAAACCCCTCACTCTGAACTCCATTTTGTATCAAAACTCAGTTATAAAATATCAAAATGGTAACTTGATATACCTAAATAAATGCATAACAAATACCCTATAACGAGAGTGTAATTCTTGAAAATCCCAAGTCATAGTTATTTAGTGAACAAAAACAATTATGGTTACCGGTGGGTACAACGCAGTAAGCCCAAATTCACCGGTTTGCCCCTGCGGCTGCCATTGCTGTTGACCCTGATGTACCATACCCGCATCGGGATAACTCAACTGCTGCGGTTGCGGTTGCTGTTGTTGTTGGTAGTAAGGGTCATTCTGAAAATGGGGTTGAGCATAGCCTTGCTGGTAAGCAGCAATATGATTAGAGTCATTCTGAACTGGAACACCAGGAGGGTGAATCGGAGCGGGTTCTTGTTCTGGGTGGGGTTGATAAACAGGATTAGGATTAGGATTAGGGTATTGTTGTTGGGGGATTTGAGGAGGATAATAGGGGTAAGGTTGTGGTTGATTGTAGAGGTAAGGATCTTGGGTTGGAGGTTGAATTTGCGCTGAAGGTGGTGGAGGGTAGGTTGGAGCAGCAGCGTAGGGATCCATGGCTATTCCGCTAATTCTTCCTGTGAAGAGAAAGGGAAATTGTGTGAATAGGTTGGATTTAACCGATTGTAATTCGTGTGTTAAGAGGATATCTAGAGTACCACTTTTGATGCGTAAGGTACATTATTTTCGGGTTGTACGCCTGTACGGTACCCAACCTAGGCCCAGTGGGTCTCTGCATACCCGACTTAAATTGGTAACCAAATCAATATGATCCAATTGTTTTATTAGCCTTGTTTTTTACTTATGCTAAAGAAATGACCCGATTCGGTCCATATTGTTAAATTAATTATAAAAATGGTTCGTTTTAGTTTGCCAAATTTATTAATCAGTTGAAACTTATTTCGGTTGATTGCCTATATTAAAATACTTTTTTCTTAATGTTTGTCAATAAAAACGTCTTTAAAAGTATTTGTCTTGCTTTGGTAATTAAAACGTCTTTTAATTTATAATTAAAGCTCTTTTACTTCTTGTGTCAAGAAACACATTTTTCTATGATTTGTAGTTTTGTTTTTGATGATTTACATTTCAATGAATCTTAGGTGTTGTTTGTTTTTTCGAAGCGAAAACGTCTGAAGTCTGCGGACTATATATGCAATCCTCTACAGCAGAAGAGGTGCACAAAATGGTTGCAGCCTGTAATAAGAAGTCTGCAGGGGCGGACGCAGAATTTCAAGGTAGGGGTTGCACGGGAAAGTCAGGAGTTGCACAATAGTAGAAAAAAATTCGAAAAATTTTACACTGCGGCCGGAAAAGTCAGGGGTTACACGGGCCACTGTGTGCCTTATACTGGAACCACCCCTGGAAGTCTGTTTGTTTTTTAACATCTGCAGGTTGTTACAATAAACTAAAATTAACCATACAATAGTTAAAAATAATTCTAAATCAAAAAATTATTTAGTTTAATCATATGCAAGTCAAATATAAAGATAATAGTGATGATATGAGTTTTAAAGATGTTTATATAAAATAATTAAGGGAAAATGACAAATTAGTCCTACAATGTATTGCACATTTTCCCATTCAATCTCTTAACTTATTTTCGTGATTTATAAGGGAATAAACTTGTTTTTGTCGAGTCTATTTGGTCACTTTGGACAAATTGAAGGGGCAACCTGGTTACCCCTTTGTCACATAGACTTTGACTATGAAAAGCCCTAAGTTTTTACATGGCCCCTCGTTTCTCCTCCAAGCCCATGAGTTTACTATTTTGTTCATCAATATCTCGCACTTATTCACCGATTATTCATTCCATTAATCTAAATTAAAAATATATTGCATCATCGATGGATCTTATTATTTTATTATCAATGATCGATTTCAGCTCTTGAAATTTTCTTGTCTTGGATTTAGAGTTTTCTCTATTGTTGAGTTATTGGTTTTTTCGGTTCACATTCTCATATTTCACTTATATACATGTTTGTTTCACTAATTGGATCTTGATTAGTGAGGAAGATTGAAAGTTTATTCGGGTCTAGATGCAAGTTGAATGAAGTTTGAAAAGGAGATGAAGAAGAATAGAAAGGAGTTTTCTACTGTATGATTTTTCACTTGTGATGTGGTAGAACGTCGTCTCTGTGTGTAGAAGATGTCGTCTAAAATAGTATCAGCAACCGTCTGACGAGTGCAGAGGTGATAGTGATGGGTTTTAGATGTATTAATGTGGATAAATCCTTAACACTTAAGGGTACATGCAACTTGAAGATCTAAGTCATGACGCTATTGATGTAACATTCTATTGAACAACAAGAACACTCTAACCCTAGGTAATTTCGAAAATTGTTGAAGAAAAACCATACCTTTTGATTGTTGTAGTAAACAATCAAGAATCCTTTCTTCAATAACGTGGAAGCTAGCACCACAAGTGTCGTGCGCTGATGGTTCACACCCAACACTAGCAACAAGAAGCTTTTGAGAGAGGAGAGAGGATATGAAAATTTTGGCTATCTTTAGAGTAGGAGGAGTGGCCGAAAATTGTAGGTCAAGGGGTCCTTTTATAATGTAACTTGCAAACCCTAGATAACCCTAAACGAATAAAGTAATATTTATTCAATTTGGTAATTATTCAACTTCCTATTTATCTGCAACGAATATTTCAGATGCCCTGAAATACCCTAGAATTCTTCCACTTGCATCCAAGGAAGGTTTTGGACTCTTTCTTGTTCAACTATTGAACAATTGCACTTTAACCCTTGCACTTTTATTTAATACAATTAATCTAATTAATTTTTTATTAATAATTAATTAAATATTACTATTTTTAATTAATATATTATTTCCATAACATATTAATAAATTCATTTATTGTTATTTATTAATCATATAATAAATCAATAAATCAGACTCTCTCTCTCTCTCTCTCTCTCTCTCTAAAAGTCATCATATTCAATTATTAGGTTTGAAGGCAACCCAAAAAGACTTTGCTAATAATTCAAGATTATAATAATTCAGTTATTGGCTTAGACACCTAATCCAATAGTCTCCCACTTGGATAAGTCTATAACTGTAATTACCAGTATAACTTCTAAATTAAACAGCAAAGAGCGCTTCCATAGCAACTGTCGAACTTTGAACTAAACAGACATTGGTCCTAAGATAAGTGATCAAGTATTCCTCTGTTCTACTAGATATCATATAGACATGAGACAAGGATTAGAATCAATCTCATTGTCGAAATTTTGTTTCCCGATTTCCTGATTTGTGATGACGACATAAGACTCCAAATTGAACACATCAATTGAGTCCTGGCTGGGCTCAGCACTAAAATTCAACACCAAATCACCAAGGGGCCCAAAGATATCATTTTTCCCGTTAGGACAAAAGGAACGAATAAACTTTGACTTATATGCTTGTATGCTTTACTCACTAAATCATAAATGATACTGTGGTTTATAACATCACGTTACTGATGCGTTTACGCAATACCACTGCACAACCGACTTGTAAATTACAACTCATATATCTCCACTTCAAGAATATAAGATATTATCATCTCATAATTACTCGTGATATAATCCATGAAGTAATTCTCTAAGCGTGGGTTTATCCAATACTTAAATCTCCATTTCTAAGTACTCATGAATGTTGTAGCAATACAATTGATATGTCTAACTTCTTTAGACAACCTACATTCCAATTCATGACAGTATTAATTCACTACTTACTTCCCAAAGTATGAGTGATCGTGGAATTTGAATAATTAAATTATTCAGGAAGTAAAACATGTAAAACGAAACACAAGAATAAATAATTGATAAAGGCAGTAAACAAACTTGAAAATAATCTCCATTATTTAATCACCAAAAGTCAATTACATTTATTTTGTTACAAGTTTCAAACTAATCATCTAACTATTAAAACTAATGTCATCTCTCAATTCAATGATCATAGTATCCTGTCTAGGCTTAATCCTACTCAGAGCCTTTATGAGAGGATCTACAGGATTATCTTCTGATGAAACTCTCTTCACTATGAGATAACCTTCTTCAACTCTATGTATGATAAAATGGTACTTTCTAACGATATGTCTTGATTTGCCATGATCTCTCGGTTCTTTGGTTAAAGCAACCGCTCCTTCATTATCGTATAAAGGTTTCATTGGTTCCTGAATGGTTGGGACTACTCCAAGATCTCCAATGAAGTTCTTCAACCATGTTGCTTCCTTTGATGCTTCACTTTCCACTATGTTCTCTAATTCACAGGTAGAATCAGCCACTGTGTCTTGCTTGGAACTTTGCCAAGTAACTGCTCCTCCATTTAATGTAAATACCCAGCCAGATTGAGAACGAAAGTTATCTCTATCTGTTTGAAAGTTGGCGTCACTATACCCAGTCACTCTCAACGTATCATTGCCACCTAGGACTAGAACCATGTCCTTTGTCCTTCGTATATACTTGAGAATGTTCTTAACTGCTGTCCAATGAGCTCTGCCAGGATTTCCCTGATAGCGACTAACCATGCTTACAGCACAGGACACATCAGTGTGAGTACATGTCATAGCGTACATGATCGATCCTACAGTTGAAGCATAAGGGACTCGACCCATATCAGCTATCTCTTCATCCATACTTGGGATTTGAGTCTTACTTAATTTGGCATTGCTTTGAATAGGTAGCTCTCCTTTCTTGGAATTTTCCATACTAAATCGTTTTAGTACCTTGTCCAAGTATGTACTTTGACTAAGTCCAATTAGCATGTTCTTTCTATCTTTCAAAATTCTTATCCTGATAATATAGGTAGCCTCTCCTAGATCCTTCATAGTGAAACACTTTCCAAGCCAAGATTTCACTTCTTGCAAGGTTGGAATGTCATTTCCCATGAGTAGTATGTCATCAACATACAACACTAGAAAATTTGCTATACTCCCACTAGCTTTGACATACACACATGACTCATCCTCACTCCTAGAAAAACCAAAATATTTGACTTTTTTCATGGAAGTAAAGATTCTAGCTGTGAGATGCTTGTTTCAATCCATAGATGGATTTCTCAAGCTTACACACTCTATTAGGAAACTTTGCATCAACAAAACCCTTCGACTGACTCATTTAAACATCTTAAGCCAACTTCCCATTAAGAAAAGCGGTTTTGACATCCATCTGCCAAATTTCATAATCATGAAAGGAAGCTATGGCGAGCATTATCCTAATAGATTTTATCTTAGCCACTGGTGAGAATGTCTCATCATAGTCAACCCCTTGGGTTTGAGTAAAGCCCTTCGCAACCAGTCGTGCCTTGGAAGTGTGCACATTTCCATCCATGTCGATCTTCTTCTTGAAAATCCATTTGCAACCAACTGTCTTTCGACCAGGTTGTTGATCAACCAAAATCCAAAATTGGTTGTCATACATGGAGTTGATCTCACTGTCCATTGCATCTTTCCATTTACCAGCCTCAGGGTCTGCCATTGCTTCCTTGTAGTTATTTAGCTCATCCAAATTTATCAGTGTTTGATCACTGATAAACCTATCATCATCTAAAGTTATATGGAAACCATAGAAATCGGGTGACATGCTAACTCTCTTGGAACGACGAAGAGGTAATGAATTGTCAACTAGCTCAACTG